CTTTGTTGCTGACACCCACTTGGCCTGAGGAAAGTTACTCCATATGTGCACTTCAGTAGCCCCATGGGTCAAATAAAGGCACTGACACCCATGTACTCTACCTTTGAAGGGAGAGGGATAATATGTTAGTGGGTATAAAGTGCGTTTGAATGTGAGGTCTATTGGATGTGCTGAGCTTTAGCACCAAAATGGTCCTTTTGCTAGTCCACTGGACTGCTTGCTGAAAATCCAATGTGTTCACTATAAGTGTGCAGAAAATGTCAGTCCATGGGCCTGTCTTGGGGAACACTGGTCACTAATGAGGGCCCTGCTAAGGTCAGATGGGGGGCAAGGGAGTTCCTGAAAGCTGAGCACTCAGATTCTACTGCAGTGTCATTTCCTTTCGACAAGTCTCAGAGGGGTAGTTAGTCTGTATCTGCAAAAATGAGAAGTCCTGTGGGACTTTAAAGATGTCTTTAAGGTGGCACAGGCTTCCATGTGGATTTCCGTTTGTCTTTAAGATGAGCAGTGTTAGCTACTAGCGCCACCTTCTGGTCAACCAGGAATAGTAAAAAGTGAGCTCTGAACCACGCTCAGTAAAGCCTTCCTGAATGAAAGAGCTTATGTGCTAGGCCTTCAGGAGAGCTCAGATTGAATTAGCTGATCCCTCTGCCAATACAGTGTGAGAGGGGAGCATGATGGCATGTTTTCTCACAGTAATGGATGATACTCGGTTAGCCGGTCAGTCCCTATGCTATTTCTATTTCATGCATGTAGGTGAGGGGCAACCATAGGAGTAGCTACTGGTGCTTGAGACTCTTAACTACTGATCTTTGAGGATTAATAAAGGATATAGGGACTGAGGAGAAAGGCATCCCATCCATCATCGCGTGCAGCTCTCCACATTCTACCTTCTTGGTTGGAAGAAGAGCCAGACTTTCCCTTTCGGTGGAGTTAAGGGACATTGGATATTGCTGGTGTCTTGTGACTGATGACTTTAATTTAACTGCCCTCCAAGGTAAATCTAGGGACTCTCGAGAAGACCTGTCTGGGGAAGAAGCAGTTCTGTGAGGGCTGCTGTTCCAATGGCTATTTTGACTGTATTCTAGTAGCTGGCTAAGAATCTGTTTTTCTTGAACATGAGAAGTCATGACCAAGGGCTGATTCATCTTAGGTACATGGCAGGGTTTTCTAGCCATTCTTGAAGTGATCGGGTGAGCATGAAAGTCTGGAGACTGCTCCATGACTAGTGACAAGGCCTCTGTCTGGGCTTCAGTCAGTGAGTTTAGCAAATGTTGGGAGGAAGCCCCAGCAAACCATTTTCTGCGGGAGAATTCTTCAGTGGCAAAATTGTCTCTTTTGCTGTCTGGCACTGTGACTGGGAGGCTGTTGTACAGCTGAGCCAGATGGCCTGGTGGCTTAGGCGATATTTTTTGGAAAACAGTGTCCACAGCCTGAGATATCACTCTGGCTAGCTCATGTTTTAATGTCTCAGAAAAGGTTCTTTCTTCAGAGGAAAATTCACCCATTCTCCTTTCTTCCTCTGACACAGTGTGACCTTCCATCTCTGAGATGTGCCTCCAAAACAGAGCTCTGTGTTGGTCACTAGTTGCCCCATGCCTATCTCCATGCTCCCCCTTCAGTAAGTGCATAGTATTCACTATCCCTTCTTGGCTTTGATCTGAATCACCAAACTCATAAACCTGCAAAAATTTCTCTTGAAGCTGCTTCAGCTGCTGCTGCAAAACTTGAAGCTGTCCCTTCAGCTGGTGGCACTCCTCTGCCTTGGTGCTGGAGCTGCTCCTGCCTCTTCCTCCCAGCTGTGCTACATGTGGGCTTTGCTGCTGGGGAAGCTTTTGCTTTCTCTTGTTCTCCCTATGGTTGTCACTTCTTTTCTCCACAGGGCATTCTCTGTCTCTTTCTTCATTGGTACCGAGTGTGGTGGGGTTTGGTGAGACACTCATACCTTGTATAATGCTTTCTACTCTTGCCCTCTTAGCTTGTAAGTGTTCATTATAGAACTGGTCGGTGTCACCAAAACTGAAGAGTGGAGTATAGCATAAAGGGGAGGCCAGGGTTTGTGTCCCTTCCCTAAAAGATGTGCAGTCCCGGGCTTCCTGGGGTGATTGCGTTGTCGGCAAGGAAGGGAAAAGGAGGTTTGGATCCAGTCCCCTGTTAGCTATTGTCTGGGTGAGGAGTTGTGATATGATGGACACACTGGGAGAAGAGAACAAAGAGTCTCTTTGGAGACGGGGCTCTTCTTTCTGCCCACCTGACAGTCCTGAACTCGAGTTGCCTCCATCCTGCTCAGCGATGCAGCTCCCATTCATAGTTTTTTCCTTATTCTTGAAGAGGAAGAGCTGACACTGAACAGTTGCCACTCAGCAGTTGTTTTGATTATGGTACTTGTTATACTTGAACACCTGAGGACCTGGAAACTGCTGATGTGCCAGGTGCTTTATGTTCCCGATGGCCAAAGATCTGGAGCTGAGAAAAGACAAGAAATGTTACCCAGTGAACTCTGTCAACTCTCCATTTGTGTGGGAACAGTTCTTCCTCGCTGATTCTCTCTGACTTCCCTGCCCACCAGTGCTGAAAAGACTCCAGCCACTTCAAAATGCGTGAGCTTACCTGCTATGCAACACAGGACAGCACAAGCATACCTCCCTGGTACTCAGGACAGTGTAAGGGCTTCCCATTCAATATCTGGTCATTCATGGGTCTGGTCTTAATCTTCAAACAGGTTGGGCTCAGGTTCTCTCTGCAGCCACAGTGTATTGGCTGCATCCCCAGGAACAGTGGTACTATCAGCTACAAGAGACAGAGCTTTCTATGCAGTCACCCTATAGCTTTGGATTATTCTTCCACAAAGGTTAAAATGATCCCAAATCTCATTGTTGTCTTCAGGGCAAAACAAGCTTTAGTTCCTTGCCCAAGCTTCCCAATACACAGTAATATAAAATGTGTTATAAACTTCATCTGTGCCCCCCATCCAGCAGAAGAGAAGCCTAGACATTGGGTGCAATGTAAGTGCCTAGAGATAGAAAACAGACAGAACCACAGACCACATTGATTAGATTACATAGTGTATCAATGGAACCCCCTATGGCATTCAGATTGCAGTGGTGATGAATGGTATAAATACCCACATATCAGATCCAAGGTATGTTTCAACTAAGCTTCAACCTTGCTAGAGTTTCTCTGAAGTGCCCCTTAGTTTACAAAGGGGAACTGAGAGCTGCATCCTAGAAGCTCCTCATCTTGAGCTGGGTATTGTAAAAGGTGGCACTTACAGGTGCACTTCAGCACAGACTATCCTGGCTTAATCCCATTGCAGAAAACCCCTTTGGACTCTGAACGAGAAATCTGACTGCTCCTCAGGAACCCTGCATCTTTGTGTTTCTATGCTCACTTATGCTGTTGAATGCATTCAACATTCTGTGTCTCCCTAATCTCACAAGGCTTTCCCATGTGTGTGGTTGTGGCCATAGACATACACCTCATCTCTATGTGGTGGCCTCACTACATCCTTCCCAGGGCCTGGATACATGAACACTCATGTTCAGAAAGTGACTGAGGATTTTACATCCACACAGTGTAGGTCAGGGGACTCTGACTCTGCCTGAAACATAAAGGTATCAAACCTTTCACTCAACTCAGGACTAGCCAGCTCTGCAGTACAGTGATTAGTAGCATGTTATATATCTGAGGCTGGGCACAGATGGCACCAGGTTCTGCCAGCATTGGGCATCTGAATGCACACACAAAAGAAGGCACAGCTAGTTCCTGAGTAAGATGCCTGTCAGAACTGGGCACCTCAGCATAGGGGTACAAACATTCAAGCAGGACTTGTGCTTTAGTAAGAGGGACCTGACACACACAGCATCAGGCTCCGTGGAGCTGTAGCTATCCAAAGGTTTCAGTGATCCAGAAGCAGTAACATTCTTTAATGTTGCCTCCAATTATTAATGTACAGTCAAACTATGGAGCTAAAACAACATTTTGCATTTATTTCTACGTGCTGTATTTAAAAAGGCAAAGGAAAGGAGTGAGCTAGGAAGAATTAGATGAACAGAGCCTGAGTCATTGATTTGGCAGTTAAGAGTATAAGAATTGCCATACCTGATTACCCTGTCTTTGAGCATGGCCAGTACCAGATGGGTTAGAGAAAGACGCAAGAAACGTTGTAGTTGATAATTACAGAATAATCCACTGATAGAGCTTTTTCCTTTTAACCCTCATCAGCTCGTGGCTGGATTACATGGCTGTAAACCCAGTCAGCAGTCTTATTACCCTAAAAAACATCTGATCCTTTTTTGGAATAATACTAATCTCTTCTTCTCAATGCTATCTTGTGGCCATGGGTCCCACAGGTTAATTATGCATTGTGTTAAATAGATGTTCTTTAATCAGTTTCCAGATGGTTGCCTTTCAATTTCTCTGAACATTCCTTTACTCTTATCTGATGAGAAAAGGTAAGTAGGAGTGCTAGATTTGCCTTCTCTAGATTCTCCATTATTTTGCACACTTCTAAGCATGTTGTCTCTCTAAACTGAACAGTCCTGTCTTTTCAGTCTCTTTTGACACAGAACTCTTTGCCACTCATCATTTTGGTCACCCATTTCTGAACCCATTCTACTTCTGCTATATCCCTTTGAGACAGGGTGAGCAAAACTGAGCAGCACTCCAGGGAAGGGCACACTAGTGATTTATGTGCCATTCTTTTGCAGCCTAACATTCTGTTTGCTTGTTAACTGCCTACACAAACACCTTGGGCTTTTTCCTGGGTGTTTACAGTTCATGTAGAATCTACCAGTGTGTGAGTAATTCAGATTGTTACTTCCTGTGCCAAAAGTGAGTTTTGTTTGCCATCATGCTACTCAGTCACTCAACTGTGTTAGGTTGCTCTGAAGTTTCTTGCGGTCTTCTCTAGACTTGACTCACTTAAATATCTTAGGGGATGTCCATGCTGGAGCTGAAAGCAAGCCCACCAGCCCCAGGAGACAGTCTCATGCTATCTGGGCTTGAATTAGCATGCTATAAATTGTCACAGGGGCACGGGATGCCACCCAGACTTGGACTGTGGGTAGCTGGAGCCCCAGTAAGGTGAGTTTGTCTGCCCAAGCAGGGAGACGAGCTCTCAGCTGCAGTGAAGACACACCCTTTGTCTTACTGATAAACGTTGCCACTCCTCTGTTCTCCCTCTTTTCCACATCATTAATAAATATAACCACCAACATTGGGAGACTTTTTATCCTGCTGCAAATTGACCATTTAGTCCTACTCTTTGGCTATGTCTACACGGCCAGCTTTGCCAGCAGAGCCTATGCAAATGAAGCGTGGATGAGTATTTTGCCACGCTTCATTTGCATAATTTAGTCAAGCCATTTGTGTGCAAGGGGTTTTTGCGCAAAAACAACAAGTGTGGATGGGATTTTTTGTGCAAAAAAACCTATCCACGCTGCTTGTTTTTGCACAAAAACCCCTTGCACAAAAACGGCTTGACTAAATTATGCAACTGAAGCATGGCAAAATGCTAATCTGTGCTACATTTGCTTAGGCTCTGCCGGCAAAGCCAGCAGTGTAGACAAAGCGTAAGGTTCCTGTCTCTGAACCCATTTCTAATCCATGAAAACGCTTTGCCTGTCACCCAATGACTGCTTAGTTTTATTAACCTCTTGTAAATGGCTTGGTCAAAGCTTTTTTTTTTTTTTTTTTTTTTAAAACTTTTTTCTCCCTAGCTGTTTTATTGACATGCACAAATATCTGTGTGGCTTTACAGATGCCCTGCTATTTTATCTCTACCATATGCTCATCTAGGCATATTATCATTCTGTCTTTAATAAGAATGTAAAAACGGCCATACTGGGTCAGACCAAAGGTCCACCTAGCCCAATATCCTGTTTTCCAACAGTGGCCAATGCCTGGTGCTTAAGAGGGAATGAACAGAGCAGGCAATTATCAAGTGATCCATTCCCCATTATTCATTCCCATGATTATTTCAGTTTATTTACTTGGGACTGAAGTAAGGGTTACTGGCCTGTAATTCCCCAGATTACTCCTATTAACATTTTTAAAGATTTGCAACCATCTCCAGTCCTCTAGTATAGGAGCTGATTTTAATAAAGCCATATATAATTCTTATATTTGCATATTTCAGCCACTTCTTTCTTGAGCTCTCTCAGACCGCTTGGCTATATGGCATATGTACTGAATACTGGTCCTTTAATGTACCAGTTTATTGCAGAACATCCTTCTTTTGGCACTTCATCCTCTCACGGTGCCTTATCTTTTTTTTAACATGAAAAGGTAAAGTCAAAGATTCCTTAAACTGAAGCTTTCTTGTTTTAGACACCAAAGCGATAGGCTCCCTGTAAGTAACAATAGATAGCTATTGAACTGGCTATAATCTTTTAACTTGTCTAACAATATTAGAACCAGCTTTTTCCATTAATCTGAGCTGCTAGAGAGTGGCACATAAACCCTCAGTTTCAATCTATTTTTCTCCCTCCTGAAAAGCTCCTTACACCTCCTTGTCTTCCTTGGAATGAGGGGTTCTGTAAATGCACTTGCCTGGTATCAGAGAACCAACTGATGGAGCAGGGCTGCACTCAAGAGTCCCCTCTGCATGCGAGGAGTGCTAGCTAGGGTTACTGAGCATTTGCTGATTGGTCTTGAAAGGGCCTTTTTAGCTTAATTTTCACAAGACTGCTGGAACAATTTTCATAGTGGAGGTGGTGATGATGGAAATCATGTCTTTGGTATTTTTTATTACTACTTTGAATCAAGGGGTATGGCAGCACCTGCAGCAGCCCAGTTTCAGCATCATTGGATTTTCTTGGTTTTCTTTACTTTTTTGAAAAGTAAGGAGTGAGCACTGGCCTGTGAGGAGTTTGGCACAAACAGAAAGTGCCCTGTGCACCAGCAGCCATTCCCCAATGAGCTATTCAGAACCAAAAAAATCAGCCTCAGAAAGAGCAGCATTGGAGAGATGAGGTCTGGGGCTGCAAGTCTGCGGCCAGACAGAATCCTGCTGTTCACCCTCATCAGGGACCCAGGGGACAAACTGAAAATTTTCAGATCCCTCCCTCCAAAGCATCTGCTTTTAGAAGCAGAATGTACACCCTGTCCTCCATAGCAGATGGAGACATTTTGCTCACTCCCTTTTCATTCTGACACACTGGATTTTTCTGCAAGGAATGCCTCTTCTCCTGGGCCCACAGCAACTGCGTGCACACAGGGGTCTCATCCACGGCTGCTATGGATAGCCCCATTTTCAGATCCCTCCCTCCAAAGCATCTGCTTTTAGAAGCAGAATGTACACCCTGTCCTCCATAGCAGATGGAGACATTTTGCTCACTCCCTTTTCATTCTGACACACTGGATTTTTCTGCAAGGAATGCCTCTTCTCCTGGGCCCACAGCAACTGCGTGCACACAGGGGTCTCATCCACGGCTGCTATGGATAGCCCCAGATCAATTCCGGCTTTTCCCCAAGCCGGAAAAAAAGCGGCGGACATGTTTATTTAAATCTGCGGGGGATATTTAAATCCCCTGCAGATTTCCCTATCCTGACTTACCTGATTTGCATGGCTTTTCCGGAAATTGTGGCCAGTGTAGACGTAGCCCAGCTTTTTTCAGTCTCTATAACATAGGCAACCTCAGCTACTGGGGGACAACCAAAATGTTTTGGAGGGGACTAGTGGAGAAGGAAAGAGATCACAGGTCAATGCATGTTAATGCCCTGGAGTTCAGGTTTGATCTAGGTCAGTGTTTATGGTAATGGAGGTCCTGCCCCTACTTGTATATTTGCTCTTTAGTGAATAGTCTCTGCCATTTTGCTGGCTGAGCCTTCAGCTCTTTCATCAGATTAATTAGTGAAATGTTTGTAAAGCACTCCACACATGCTGAGTGTTACTATTAGCAACCCAGGCTCCTTTATAAGAAGACAAAGGGGAGAAAAAACCCAAAATGAGGCTATTCAGCCTCTGGTCACCACCCCAAGAACAGACACTCCAAATGTCCTGACACATCAAACCTCTTTAATAACAAATATCACAAGTGTCCAGACACCCCAAACCTCCCTGAGAACAAACACCACAAGTGTCTGGACACCCCACATGCTTCCCCAAGAGCAGACACCCCAAACAGCCAGATGTCCCCAAGCAGACATCCCAAATGTCCAGACACCCCCAAACCTCTCCGAGAATAGACACCCCAAATAGCCAGGATACCCTCAACACCTCCAGAAAATACACTCTCTTAACCTTCCTCAACAATCACTGCAAACCTCAGAAGAGTCATGTTCTGCAAGCCCTCTGCATGGAGACACTCCCCAAAATTGTTAGATTTCAATAAAAATCTTGAACAGGAACCAACTTAATTTCTCTCCTCCCCAAGGAGAAGGTGCACTCACCTTGATCTCTCTTTGGGTTTGAGGGTGGTAGGTGCCAGCAGGGTACCTGGTGTTCCCAGAGAGTGCCTGGAAACTGGCAAATGAGAAGAAGCACAGAAGCACTGGCAGGGGCATTGAGGAAACCTCTGAGCTTTGTCCCTGCTAAAGAAAGGGATGGGAAAGCCAATAGCAGCCAACCAGCTTCAAGTGCTTCTGAATATGCAAATGAGAGAAGAAGAGGTCAGGTTCAGACAGAGCCTGGGATCAGGGAGGGAGACCTTGTATCTGCAGCTGGGCCACTGGGGACCACAGAAAGTCAGCTGTTCAGAGAGTCTTTAATATGTGAAGTCTGCTTTTCAGATAGGACCATAAAGATAGTGCATAAAGAGCTCTGTGCATTAGCTTCTAGGTTCTAACTTGTTACAGGTCAGGATATCTATGCATTGACAGAGCTATGTCTGAGGCAGCTAAGACAGGAGGAACACGAGCTGCCATAGATCAAGATAGAATGGTACAGGAGCAGATCGTTGGGGCAGGGATGAGCAGTGAGAGCAGGACTGGAACAAGGGCTTCCCCGCATCTTAGCTCAGCCCTGAATGGCACAGTCCCTAATACCACAATCTGTAATTTTCACTCAGAATTTCACCTCTGCTATGCCAGTTCACACCAACAATTCCTCTAGACTAGTATGACACCTGCTGTGTTTCAGCAGAAGATGAAATCTCCTATATTGTACCTGGTGAGGAATGCACTGCTGCACATGAGAGCAATGCCTTTCTGATTGTGATAATTCTCTAGACACCATCTTAGAGAGAGTTCAGAAGGTTTCAGGAGCTCTGTGACAATATTGAGGCTGGCTGACAGCATCTCTCTTGGCCATATGAGAATGAGGGGGGGACAAAAAAGAGGGCACCTCTGTGTCAGAAGAGTCCTAATAGAGAAGATTTTGTTCTCCTGCAAAGCTAAACAAAACAGGATTGCGCTGCAATATAAAAACATAGAAATAATGAAGATGGGAAGACAGCAACATCTTAGAGGATTTTGGAGCTTGAACCTGGTCTGGTAACATGAAATACACGGCAGAATGCAGGTAAAATAGAGCAAGAGACATAGAATTCTCCCCAAAGTGTTCAGTCACAAATTTAATTAATACTTTTTTTAACAATTGCCATCAGCCTAAAAGCATGCCCTCTAGAAGGGTAGCCAAAGCATGAAAGGGGTGTATGAATGTTTTGCATCTCTGGCATGTAAATAGCTTGCAAAGCTAGCTACAAAAGTGCCATGCAAACACCTGTTCTCACTTTCAGGTGACATGGTAAATAGAGGTGGGCAGCACTATCTCCCATATAAATGTAAACAAACGTATTTGTCTTAGTGATTGGCTAAACAAGAATTAGGACTGAGTGGACTTGTAGGTGTTAAAGTTTTACATTGTTTTGATTTTGCTTGCAGTTACGTGTCAAAAAAAATTACATTTGCAACTTGCACTTTCACAATAAAGAGATTGCCCTATAATACTTTTAAGAGGTGAATTGATAAATAAAATGTATTTTGTTTATCTTTTTACATGAAAATATTTATAATAAAAATGATAATATTAAGTATACTTTGTATTCTGTATTGTAAATGAAATCAATATATTTGAAAATGTAGAAAAGCATCCAAAATATTTACATAAATTATATTCTATTATTAACAGCACAATTAATCAGTTAATTTTGTAATCTCATGATTAATCATGATTAATTTTTAAATCACTTGACAAACCCTAGTAACAAATAATTGTACTTAGTATTTTACATTTTTAAAGCACTTTGCAAACAGTAACTTTAGAAATTTGAACCAGTAGTCCACAGTAGCTTGTAAGTTTCTTCCTGCTCTCAGAACTGGAAGTAAGTATTCTGTGGGAAATAATCTACCTTTCCTCAGGAATGGATAGCAAAGAGTGACTAAAGAGTCTTTCACCTCTCCTTAATGGAACAATGTGATTAACCAATGAAAGCTTGTTTAGATGATGTCATCTTTGTAACTAGCTATCTTGATGGACGGCTCTGCTGAGGATGGATTTTCCCTGGAACCAGACTGAATTCATCTGCTCAGCTGAATTAATCAACTCTAAGTAAATTTTTTATTTTTCTAATTTCCCTCCAGATACTTAGAGAGATGTTTAATGAAAGCCTACCATGCATATTTTTTTCCTGTTAGGCAGGAATCTTTTGTTAAGGACAGCTGTTTTCCAGTGTCTTGCTCAAGGACAGCAGCATTCCAGTGAAGAATAACTGAAAAAGTTCTAGATTTGGCACTTTACAAGATCTTAGGGATATAAATGACTAGTCGACTATCTGCTAAGCAAAAGCTTATTGGGTAGTCAACTAGTCCCTCAACTAGTTGCTTTCCCCCCACTTGCTGCCTCTGATAGAGGCAGCAAGAGGGGCAGACCTAGGGCTGGGGGGAGCTGGTTTAAAAGCTGGTTCCCCCCAGCACTGTCTCTGCAAGGGGCAGGGGAAGCAGGGGATAGTGGGGACCGGGTGCTGTGCCTCTGCTTTTTAAATGTATTAAGAGCCACCTGGCTCTTCATACTTTAAAAATCAGAAGTGCAGCAGCGGGGATCCAGCGCAAGCCCGACCAGCTGATTGTCAGCTTGTGCCAGGTCCCCTGCTGAGCTCCAGCCTTTTAAATGTATTAAGAGCCGGTAGGGAGGGCTCTTAAATGTATTAAGACACGGGAGGGGACCCAGCATGAACCGGGAATCAGCTGTCCCAGCTCACGCAGGGTCCCCCCTGCTGCACTTCAGTCTTTTAAATGTATTAAGAGCCAAGAGGCTCTTAATACATTTAAAAGGCAGAGCTGCAGAGGGGTTAGTTTCCAGGGCAGGGAGCTAACCCCACTGCTGCTCCCCCACTTATTGACTAATCAATGGAAAATCTATCGACTAGTTGATTAGTTGATTAAACTAAATTTAACATCCCTAGGGCTCTATTTCCTTTTTGTTTACATGCCAGCAGAGTTTCAAAGTATTGGAGAATGTCTCTTATTGATTTTTCTAATATTTTTCCTTTAAAAAATTCCTAGGAAATTCCCTGCAAAATTCTTTGCAGAGTATTATGGTTACATAGATGCTCAAAAGTTATGAAAAGCCTTAATTATGGATGTACACTCAATCTTTACTTTCCCTTTTGGAACAGATGCCTCATTACAATACAGTTTTTAATTACAGGATCACAGACTATTGCAGGTTTAGTACAGAGTTTCTTAAACTTTGTAGTAGCATTCACCTCATGTTAAGAGGAAGCTGTTTCATGCTCCTTTCTTGCCATTTCCAGTTGTGCAGGTGACCTCCCATTTCTATCCAGGTAACATGCCTGTGGCAACTGAAACATTTATTTATATCAAATGTAATGTCCAGAAAGTAATTTACTGTAGCTGTCACTAGTGTGATTTTAGCAGGAGAAAACAAAGAGGATTATAGCAACTTTAGGGGGGGAGCCCTGAGCCTCAGGAGCCAGATACAGGTAAGCTGGTAGCCTTAGGTTTCCCACTCCTTCTGTAAGTGGTCTCAGTACCACTAAGTGGGACAGTACACCAAACCTAGCAGGTGTGTGAGTTACATCAGCAGAGTGACTAGCATCAGTCATGTGTGGATCTTTCTCTTTCCCACAGCCTATGAGCTATAGTATGTGAGAATGATGGGCACAGGGTATTTCTGTTTAAAGAATATTGTAAGAACTTGGAATGAAAGGTGGTGAGGTTTGTGGGGGTCTCAATCGTGAGAGTATGTACTATACTCTTGGGCTACGTCTACACTGGCATGATTTTCCAGAAATGCTTTTAACGGAAACGTTTTCCGTTAAAAGCATTTTCGGAAAAGCGTGTCTAGATTGGCAGGATGCTTTTCCGCAAAAGCACTTTTTCCGGAAAAGCGTCCGTGGCCAATCTAGACGCGCCCAATCGCCATTTTCACGATCGAGGCTTTTTTGCGGAAAACAGGACTATGCTGTCTACACTGGCCCTTTTGGGCAAAAGTCTTTCGGAAAAAGACTTTTGCCCGAATGGGAGCAGCATAGTATTTCCGGAAAAGCACTGATGATTTTACATGACATCGTCAGTGCTTTTCCGGAAATTCAAGTGGCCAGTGTAGACAGCTGGCAAAGTTTTCCAGAAAAGCAGCTGCTCTTCCACTTTAGGAAAAAACTTGCCAGTCTAGACACAGCCTTGGATTGGCCCCTGCGAATACTCTGTCTTCTGAACAGATGAGCTTTACCCTTACTTCGTTCAGTTCTGTGACTCCCTTATCTCCCATCCTCCTAGCCATAACTTCATCTTCTCTGACACCCATATTGCATCCTCTGGTCCATTCAAATTACAAGTGCCAAGATCACCTTCATGGCCAGTCACTGACCACAGAATCCATCTCTGCACCCTTGTAAGGGCTCCCCCACTGTCATTCCTCATCAGGTTCCAATTCCTTGTTCTCATCTGAATAGCTTCTCTGCCCTTCCTTGATTCACCCTCCCAGCCCTCTACTCTACCAACCATACCAGCGCATCTGCCTGCTTCTCGCACAACGGCTCATTATATACTGGCCCCGCCTCCTCCATCAAACCCTCCTCCTATCCCACTGCCGACACCAGCCTTGTGAGTACTGAGCCGGAGCGAGACGTCTGGACTGGGGCAGGGTGGGGCACGTTTTCCGCTCGGTGCACCCTGCGGGTGTCACGCCGCTTCCGGGTGTTCTCTGAGGTCCTGTCCTGAGCGCGGCTCTGCCCCCACTGCCATGCAACAGGGC